GGGAGGAGTCAATGTCTTCTTTGGACATGTACAGACATAAGTAGCACATAGCCACAAATGGGTCCTTCTTCTGAGTTTAAAACATGATGAATTCAATACTGTATAGTTTGCTATAACCTTATTCTGTTATTCATGGACGAATCAGTCATCAGAAAATCCTTTGCCTAACATGTCCCATCTTAAGATTTGGAAAATCCAGTTTAAATGCACAAATAGCATGAATATTTTCCACAGTGGACATTCTTGGCATGGGTACCAGTAAGGTATGCATACCAAAACTGCACATATGAAATGTTATTGGAAAATACTTCCAAAGATCCAAAACATAATTATAACAACAATTGTTTCTGCATACATTTTTTTATTATACAAGAGATTCTATTTTTGAAATTCAAGTTTCTTGCTGCTGATTGGATGAGGATTTCTGAAAAAAGTAAAAATATTCCCCAGCAAAAATGTATGACAAACTTTGACTGGAACAAAATTATCTATAAGAGGTACCCTTATTCTTGATACAATGTGCCTAAACATCTTTCTTTTAAAAATGCTGGGCACTGATCTGAACTGAAAGTATTGATTCTGGATTGCTTTCTCCAAAGGCAGCAAGACCATATTCTGGAAAAAAATGCACCATTTCTGAAAATATTTGAATAGGGTATGATACAATGAAACAGCACTCAAAAATGATCAATTATTTGTTTTAATGAATCGTGAAATTGTTTCTAGTTACAAATCCTGTAGATACTTTTAGTAACTACAGTAATCTGTAAACAGTCATGTAAACAGTAAACAGTGTTTCTGTTGGGACTTCTGCAGCATTTTTTCATAGAAAATCATTTGTTATACCAGAATAAAAACATTTCATATTTTATTGTAGAACATAGAAAAATAAACCCATAGCAGGGAATCATACAAGATGTTCATGATATAAAAGAACATCACATAACTTTCTGTAGCAGAATTTCATTTAACATAACTTTCTGTATAACATAATTTCATTTAACATAACTTTCTGTAACAGAATTTCATGAACAGAATCCCATTTAACAAAATACCAATTTATTGCAAGACTTTTACCAAATTTCATTCCAAAAAATTGCATTCAACAGAATTGCATTTAGCAGAATTTCAATTCACAAAATTTCATTGGGCAGAATTTAATTTTTAAAAATTTCCATTTAATAACATAATTCTATTCAGAAAAATTGCATCACCTGAATTATTAGGGGAAAGCTACATAAATTTCCCCAGATATATATAGAGAAAAAAACGTATAAACTTTCCAAAGAACCCTTCTGGAGCTTGCGAAAGAAAGGGGGAACAAAAAGGGTTACATATAGCCCTGTGGGCCTTCTTCCAAAAAAGGAACTGTACCACAGGGGGGTCATCCTGGCTCATCCCCCCCCCCCTTCTTCTTTGCAGTCCTCGTACCCCTCTTGGCCTGGGTTGGACTTGTGTACCCCATATAAAAGCCGTCCGCAAAACTAGCACCCTTCACAACCGCCATTTCACCCTTGACCGAGTGAGTTCGCGGATCCATCTCGCTCTTTTCTTCACCTCCCCACCGAAAGAAAAAAAAAAAAAGTGCTTCACCTCATCATTTCTTCTATTATTATACCACTATATACCCCGAAAAAAAAATATTTTCGTGACTGCGAAATTTGAATTTTGAAAAAAAAAGAAAATTGGCGTCGGAAACCATGGGTTCTACCAAGGAGTTATTGACGTGGAGCGGACAAATGCCCGGGTTGCCAAACTTGCCGCATTTTGCGATGGGTTTCGGCAATGGGTCCATCGTGGACAAGATCCCGGCTGACATGCTGTTTCTGGTGGACAGGCATTGGAACCAGTTCCCCCCACTTGATACACTCACTTACATGATCCTGGGGGTCTTCATCATCGTTGCTGGCATGATCAGCGTCATCGGTAATTTTTTTTATCGAGTGAAATTGATTGATTGATCATTAGTATTGAACCTCATTATTGCATATTTGGGACCTCAAATTCACATGAACTGAAAAAGTGCAATTGTGGAGTTTTTTAGGTAGAAAATTTTTTTTGAGCGGACAAATGAATCAACTGGCCAAATTATTAAAACTGTATTTATCAATTTTAGATATTTTACCAAATAGCAATTTTGCCATATGAAAAGCATAAAGAAAATGGTTCAAAATATGTTTGCTTGATTGGTTTTCTGGAACAGCATTTTAACAATTTGGCTCAAATTGAATTTGAAAAAGGCCTTAAAAACTTGGGCAAAGGGGATTTTTTTTAAACTGGCTAAATTATTAAAACTATTCTTTTTAATTTTTTTAAAACTGGCGAAATTATTAAAACTACATTCAATAACCTTAGCTATTCTACCATTCAGAAATTTTGCCTCATGAAAAGCATCAAGAGAATGGTTCCAAATTTGTTTCTTTGATTGGTTTTCTAGAACTGCATTTTAACAATTTGGCTCACAATGAATTTGAAAAATGCTTTGCAAATTTGAGCAATGGGGGTTCAACCCATGCATTATTTTTAGTGAGAGAGGATTGAAAAGCATTGTTTTTTTTTGGGGAATTGGCCAAGAATCCACAGGAATTCGACTTGTATACTGTAGTGAGTTCAGCTTTTAGAGAATTTCAAATTAGTACTTTAAAACTGTTAAAACACATTATTGGGATCTTCAGAGATGTGTTGTATAACTTGATACACTCACTTACATGATCCTGGGGGTCTTCATCATCGTTGCTGGCATGATCAGCGTCATCGGTAATTTTTTTTATCGAGTGAAATTGATTGATTGATCATTAGTATTGAACCTCATTATTAAATATTTGGGACCTCAAATTCACATGAACTGAAAAAATGCAATTGTGGAGTTTTTTAGGTAGAAAATTTTTTTTGAGCGGACAAATGAATCAACTGGCCAAATTATTAAAACTGCATTTATCAATTTTAGATATTTTACCAAATAGCAATTTTTCCTCATGAAAAGCATCAAGAAAATGGTTCAAAATTTGTTTCCTTGATTGGTTTTCTGGAACAGCATTTTAAAAATTTGGCTCACAATGAATTTGAAAAAAGACTTTACAAACTTGAGCAAAGGGGATTTGCCCAGACATTTTTTTTCATAACTGGCCAAATTATTAAAACTATATTTAATAACTTTAGCTATTCTACCATTCAGAAATTGTGCCTCATGAAAAGCATCAAGAGAAATGGTTCCAAATTTGTTTCTTTGATTGGTTTTCTAGAACAGCATTTTAAAAATTTGGCTCACAATGAATTTGAAAAAGGCCTTGCAAATTTGAGCAATGGAGGTTCAACCCAGGCATTATTTCTTAGTGAGAGAGGATTGAAAAGCATTGGTTTTTTTTTTCCTTAACCGGTTCTTAGGTGTCCTTAAGCTGAACATATGACATCACTCAAGTCGAAAATCTCTTAAAGTTTAATCATGAAATTTTGACAATTTTGTGTAATAACCCTAGAAGTCTCTACACAACATAAAATTATAAATATTTCTGCAAGTCTGAAATAACATTATTCAGGCTGTTTTGCAGGGACATTATTGGCAAATAATTTTTGGCAAAAATAATCCATTATAATTATGTTCTTTATGGAGATTTATTTTGTGAAGCTCATCAGAACACAAATTGAACTTCAAATCAGGAAACTGAAAAGGATCATGATGCAAGAAAATATCAATTGTATGATGGAATATATTTATTGTCTCACAAGGGTTCTGATTTGAAGAGAAAAAAGCAGTGTGGGATTCTCTTTATTCATTTCTTCCATACAAAAAAAAACAAAAACACTGATGTGTCTTCAAATGTAGTCTAAGGAACTATTTTCAGACAACACCAGGATCATTTTTCTAAACATATAAAACCTTTCAACAAAACTTAAATCCCATGAATTACAGAATGGTCCTCATCTGCTGCTGGTCATTAATGAATTCAGCCAAATCTACTTTTTACTATGCTCATGCACCCCAGCTTTGGACAGAACATTTCAATTTCTTCCATGCATTAAAATTGCTTTTGTGGTGTTATTTTTTAATTGGCACAGGAAATGGGATGGTGATGTACATCTTTTTGACAACCAGGACACTTAGAACCCCGTCAAACCTGTTGGTGATCAACTTGGCATTTTCCGATTTCCTCATGATGTTTGGCATGTTTCCCTTCATGGCTGTCTCCAGCTTCTACGAAGTATGGGCTTTTGGTGAGTATTCAAATGCCTGATGAAATCCATAAAATCCTTTTGACGAATGCCCATTTCCGAATTGCCCAATGAAACAGCAGCGTTATTGTACTCGATTTTATTTTTAATTTTATGTGTGCGTATAATATTCTAATTTTTTCGTCGAAACGGGAAAATTTTTTTACTCTCGAGTTGATACTAGAGAAAAATAAATAAATGAGAAGCATTATTTTGATTTTCTCCAGAAAAGAAACGCGTCACTCGTCTTGAAGAAGGAAAAGTATGATATACAATTTTTATCTTTATTCGATTTTATGAAAACCTAGATTTTCTCATATTCTAATTTTTTCAAGTAATTTTTTGTCGAGAGTAAATATTAAAAACGGTGAATATTTACTCTCGAGTCGATATACTTACATTAAAAAATAAATGGGAAGCATTATTTTGATTTTCTCCAGAAAATGATTGTGTCAATCTTACTGAAAAAAAAAGAGTATAACATTGCACTTTTATCTTTATTCGATTGTATATTAATTTTATGCATGCGTATTTAAATTTTTCGTCAAAACGGAAAATATTTATTCGCAATAAGTCGATACTAAAAAATGAATCAATGAGAAGCATTCTTTTGATTTTCTCGAGAAAAGATTAGCGTCACTCGTATACTGGAAAAAATGAGTCCGCATTATTGAAGCCAGAAAATATTTATTCTCAATAAGTCCATACTAAAAAGTGAATAAATCAAGAGCATTCTTTTGAATTCTCCAGAAAAGAAATGCGTCACTCTTATACTGGGAAAAAAGGAGCATGATGATAAATTTCAAGTTTTATTCGATATTTTATCAATTTTAAGCATATACGTATTTAAATTTTTGCGTCAGAACGGAAAATATTTGCTCTCAATTCGATAAAAGAAAATGAGAAGAAATCTTTTGATTTTCTCGAGAAAAGCAATGCGTCACTCATCCTCTTGTAAAATAGGAAAAGTACAGTATGATATTGGATTTAAGTTGTATTCGATTTTAAATTAATATCAAGCAGGCGTACATATATTTTAATTTTTGCTTCAAAACAACAATAATTTATTCTCCAGTCGATACTAAAAAAATGAGAAGCATTCTTTTGATTTTCTCCAGAAAAGAAATGCGTCACTCGTCTTGAAAAAAAGAAAAAGTACAGTATGATATTGGATTTAAGTTGTATTCAATTTTATATTATTTTTCTGCATGCGTATTTTAATTTTTGAGTCAAAGCAGAAAATATTTATTCTCAAGTCGATACTAAAAATAAATAAATAAATCGGAAGCAATCTTTCGATTTTCTCCAGAAAAGAAATGCGTCGCTCGTCTCGAAAAAGGAAATGATGACCGAAGAAATCAATCGGCTTTATCGAAGCCAGAAAATCGTCAGATCGCGTGATTTTCATTCAAAATCTCATGATAATGAAAAATCTAAACGGATTGATGGAAAATCGATGGAGATCCACAATATTCCAAAGACCAATTCCTGATTTCCACGGATCCATCTGCTAATGAATCCAAAACTTTTATAATCAAAATAAAAAGCCTGTCGTCTCATTTTAAACAATAAAGAGAAATGCTTTGAATTATATTCTCAAGCCTATGAAATAATGTTAATTGCTTGAAAAAAAATACTTCACCTAAGAAAGTAAGAAGATGATTTTGATTCAATCGAGATCAATATTAATTTCAAATGGATTAACAAAAATATAACATGGCAGGGAAATAATTCAAGAAATAATTTCTGTAGAAAAAGTCTCTGTATTTTCAAAAGCATTGATTTAATCGAATTGATGACGTTCCTAAATTTTTTAGCAAAGAATTTGATATTTTATTTGGCCATATAAAGTAAGTCACCATCTATCAACTACACTTTTTAGACTGAGGTAGTTTTCAAATCAAACTCTTCTATAGGCTCCAAATAAGTGCTCGTCTATGCAAGAGAAAGTCAACAAAATCAGCAATGTTGAATGTTTATGAAGAATTAGTATTAAATTACTCACAATAAACAGTACTTGTATATATGCGATTGTACAAAGTCGATTTTATTTTTCCAATCCCTCGCAGGAAAGCAGGATTAATGAAAATATGAACATTAATGGTCAAGAAAGATATATTTTCATGAAATAGTACCTTTTCAAAACGTATTTTTCACACGGCATCAAAAGAGCTGAGCCGAACAAAAATATCCTTGTCTTTACTTCATCTTTAAGCGGATCTCACAAGGATTTTCCAGAGCTCAATAAGAGCTTCGAAGTAGGCCTCAGTTCTTCATGCACTTTTTTTTTAAGCCAAGGACTTTTAAAGCTTACAGAGGATTTAAAAAAATCAGGCAAGCATTTTATGAACAACAGAATTTGATTGAAACAATTAAAGACTGACATGCAGGAAAAGACTTCTTATTTTTTTATGGAAATATTTTCCATTGGGAAATTGAAAATAAGTTAATTTTATAAACTATAGTTCTTTAAAATCCAAAATGCTTATATTCTTATATATATTGTACACTTGTACAGTATATTTTAAATGGAGTTATCATGCATCTATAAGAATGCTGTATAAGAATTTTGGATTTCGCATCAATAATAAAAAAAAATCAACTGTCCAAGGAAGAAGGTTTTCAGCAAATAAACAAACCTTTATTGTCCAGTTTAGTCTTCAATTGTGCCATCTATTGTTTGTTTAATTAATTTTAAATGAAGGTACATGCAGTCATTTCTTCCAAAAAAGAAGCTTCAAATTTGAAAATTCCACTGATTTTTCAGGAAAAACATGCCAGTTATGTAGCATATGAAAGTTTTGGTTATCATGCCTGCTGTCAATGCAATTTATTTGACTTCAAAATGAAAAACAAACTGTGATGAAATAATGTTGGAATTTATGTGATCTGAAAAAATACTGCACAGGCAGTATGTTGTAATTTGACCTCCCACAATTCAACCATCCTGTAATTTGATGGTCAAATTTTCAGGAAGTTTGACTTGCAATTTTACCTCTGCCTCAGAATTTGACCTGCTTTTGCCATTTTCTTTGCATTCTTGTGCTGATACTTCTCATTTTTACAGAGTTTTGTCTTGCAATTTGACCATAACCTGTTGCCAGACTATAGCATAAAATTGCAAAGTGGTCAAATTGCAATTTGACCATAATCTGTTGCCAGACTATAGCACAAAATTGCAAAGTGGTCAAATTGCAAGGTACCACATGCAGCACTTTATTCTTCTCTTCTATGAAGTAAGAGCCATAAAAGAGGTTGTTTTTCATCTGATGACAATCCATGATCTTTTGAGTGCTTAAAACAATTTACCACATATCTCATAATAAGATTGTCTCACATTATTTTATTAGCAACTCATTAACTTTGAAAAATTATTTTAAATAACAGTATGGATGAACATCTGGTTGTCAAGACTTTCTGAAACAGTAATTAATCTTAGCCTCACCTCATCATAAACCATTATGATATGAGCAAAATTATGAGTCTTTTTTTTTTTACAATTTTGACCTTTCAGGTCCTTTGGCATGCCAGATTTACGGGTTTGTTGGGAACCTGTCAGGCTGCATGTCCATCTGGTCTCTTGCCATGATTGCCATTGATCGCTACAACGTGATTGTCAGGGGCATTTCAGCGCAACCCATGACCTATTGCAGGGCCGCAGGGTATATTGCCTATGCCAATATCTCTTCACTTGCCTGGTGCATTGTGCCATTGTTTGGCTGGGGACGGTGAGTGACAAAAATGTGGTTCCTTTTTCTTCCTTCAAACACTGAAATTTATCATACAGTGATGCCTCATACAATGAACCCTATGCATTCCATGAGAAAGGGTTCATTTTCCCCTGAAAATTAAGTTTAAAAAAAAGGTTATTGCAAATTTTCAAAAATTCTCTTGCTCATTATCCTTGGCTAACATTGCATGTAACTTATGAAAAAAGTTGAAAATAGAATGCATATTTTATTTTGTTATCATTGGGAAATTACTCAATGATAAATGTGAGCAGTAAAGAGTCGTACAAAAGAACGACTCTGAACTGAGTCATATAGACAAATAATATACAACTCAGGTGCAAACAAAGAAGACAAGAAAAAGGGGAAGAGATTAATTGCTCTTCCTGATGGTGCAATTCTCAAGGTTAAAATATATTTTAGAATATATTGTATTATATAGTGACCTTCATTGAAGGACATAGCCTTGCACTCTGTCCTCCCCTCCCAGATCTGCCCCTCAATTAAGAAGTACCCTTCCAGGTACTCTGACATTGTGTACCGATTTTCTGGAGTATATAAACTCCAGTAGCATATTCCCAAAAACAGGCATTAGTGCGCTGGCCAGTGTGTAGAGATCCCTATACAGTGGCCCCCCGCCTAACAGACCTCCTGTGTAAGGGATTTTTGCCAAACAGACCAGCTCTGCAAGCAGTTTTTCCTCCCGCCCAACAGACAAAATCCGCCAAACAGACTTCTTTTGGTTTAAAATTAGTGTTGAAAATTGAAATTTTTAATTTTTTATGTAATTGAATTTGTGTAAAGGACTTTTTGTCTAACAGACTTGTCCCTTGAACAAATCAAGTCCATTAGACAGGGGTTGACTGTAGTGGGAATCCTCCCAGGTCTTGTCTTGTGTGATTTATTGGCAAAAGACAATAAATAATAATCTACTGGAAGACTGTGTTTCACTACTTCTCCCATAAAGGGTATACTCAAACTTTAACTGTAAATATCAAGAAGACGTCTTGAAGTGTAAAAATACACAACAATATTAATAAAATGTATAATGTCAGCAGCTGTTGAAATTCTTGGATATTGTAAGTAAATTTTACATTGAAAACTGGGTGCAGGAATAAGTTTATAGATTATAATGATGACCTGCAATCCAGGTCAATCAAATGTAAACATTTTTATTATTCAAACTTGTTTTGTCTCTTTATCCTGAAATTTTAGGGACTTATAATATGACTTTTCAAGTATGAATTTCAGCTGTTCGCGTTTCACGCGTCCTGAAAGGAAGAAAATTTGCAGAAAATCATAGCAACTGTTCCCGGGTTTTATTTATTTTAGTGGACAAATTTTTTTATTTTATTCCAGGTATGTTCCTGAAGGAAACATGACGGTTTGCGGAACTGATTCCGTGTCAGACGACTGGAATAACAAGAGTTACGTGGTTATTTATTCTGTGTGGGTTTACTTCGTCCCACTGTTTATCTTCATCTTCTGCTACTCAGCAATTGTGCGAGTGAGTCTCTTATACGCATCGTAATTCATCTATTCATTACGGTTTCTTTGTATATTCAAAAAGGCGCAAATCATCAGGAGTAATACCTGGAGAATGTCCTTGATAAAAAATTATAACTTATTAAATTTTTTTCCTCGTCATATGGGTATGTAAGAAAATTTTGACGTCGAGAATATTGTGAGAAGCTTAATTATTCTGACATCGTATTATAAGGTTTTTTCAAATACTTTACTGCTGAGAAGTATCACATTTTCAAATTCTGTGATAAATTACTGTATTCGTTGAAAATTTGTTGCAAATTCACCTCGAAAAAATCTGTCGATATATTAGTGAATTTATTGCGTGGATATTTTTGAAGCTTTCTGATAATGCGTCATTGATTACAATTTTATTCACAATTTATCACAGCATTCAAGTTTATCTGAGGGGGGAGGGAAACGTTATTACCTCAGAGAACTCGTGTTTCAGTTAGTGGACTTGATCCATTCCAGTGAGACGTCCACATAATTCGAAAGTCTCTGAGCCAAAAATAGTTATGCAGTGAATATTCAGAAATTCTAAACCTCTGAGCCACTTTGTAATCTCTCCGTAATTTCCATGAATTAGCAATTTTGAGTAACGTGGAGTAGCTAATGAATTCCAGAACCCTCAGATACTTGCATCCTTCGTAAATCCTTAATAAATTCAACACTGCAAATGGGTGCTGCATGTGAAATATTATAAAATACCAGCAAAAGGCACTCAGAAATGAGAAAGTCGAGCTCTCAAGATATTTAAGATTTTTATGAAAAAATGTTATTCCTATATAGATATTATGCTGACAGCAACATTTCCCAAAGATACTTCAATTTATTTTCAAGAACAATAGCTTCCCTGCATTTACTCTATGATCTAAATCTGGGTTCAAAAGCAAAAAGCAAAAAGAAAGAAGAATATAGCAACACAATTCAATTGTGCAAAATCCTGTCATAAGACACTTTCACCATTGGGGTATAATTCCTTGATTGAACAAATCCACCAGGCAAGGGCACTGTTAGCCTGGGAAAGGTTACCACTTACCTAACTAAATTCTCTAATACGTCCAGCAAAAGAAGAAGAAGAAAAAAAAAGATGGCAAGTATTGACAACGCAAGTCAATTGACCAAAATCCTGTCTTGACTCGTGAGACACTGTCACCATTGGGGTATATAATTCATTGATTAAAAAAATCCCCCAGGCAAGGGCACTGTCAGGCTAGGAAAGTTACTACTTACTACCCAATTAAATTCTCTAATATGTCCAGCAAAAAAGAAGAGAAAAATAAGATGGCAAGTATTGGCAACACAAGTCAATTGACCAAAATCCTGTCTCTTGAGACACTTTCACCATTGGGGTATATAATTCATTGAATAAACAAATCCCCCAGGCAATGGCACTGTTAGCCTAGGGAAAGTTACTACTTACCAAATTATAATCTCTAATATGTCCAGCAAAAAAGAAGAGGAATAAAAAAGATGGCAACATGAGTCCATTACTCAATTTCAATTGTGCACAAAATCCTTTCTTGAGACACTTTCACCATTGGGGTATAATTTGTTGAAAAAACAAATCCCTCAGACAAGGGCACTGTTAGCCTGGGAAAGGTTACTACTTACCTAACTAAATTCTCTAATATGTCCAGCAAAAAAGAAGAAAAAAAATAAGATGGCAAGTATTGGCAACACAAGTCAATTGACCAAAATCCTGTCTTGAGACAATTTCACCATCCGGGTAAATAATTCATGGAATAAACAAATCCCCAGGCAAGGGCACTGTTAGCCTGGAGAAAATTACTACTTACCTAACTAAATTCTCTTCACTGCAAACACTGAACCACTTCCCAACACCGTAACCAGGAACCCCCGGCCTCAGAACCCACTTGAACCTTGCTGGAGCAATAGCTTGCCCAGGGATCCACCTCTTGCAAAGAGTAACAATAAGAACAAAGAACTGGTAAGTACACAAAAACAGGAACATCATCTTATCACCAATAATAAGGGTTACCAATATTAATTATTTATTCCCTCGTTGCTTTCATTTCTTTCATTTATTCAACTTATTCTGGAAACAGGCAGTTGCTAATCATGAGCACCAGATGCGTGAGCAGGCGAAGAAGATGAACGTCCAGAGTCTTCGATCTGCTGATTCCAACAAAGCCAGCGCTGAAATCAAACTCGCCAAGGTATGAGACTCGAAATAAAGGTATCAAAATTTGAAATATTATTCACGAGACGCAAAATGCATCCTTTTGAAATAGAGAAATCAAATCGTGGAAAGGTTGAGAAGATAATGACTACGAATTTTTAATTGCTGGTCGAATTTAAAGATTTCTTTAGCGATTTTTATAAAAATTTTTTAGTTGAATGGATTCAGTTCTTGAAATATTTTTGAAACTTACGCGAAGAATCAAGAGTAATTTTTCCTCCTCCTCATGTCCGTTCGAAAATTAAATAAAACGAAATACTGAAGTAATGTAATGAAATCTAAACGTTAGATCTTGCGAAAAATATCACTCTGCACTAGCGACACCTATTTACGTTCAAAAAATCTTAGGGTTACGGTATACCAGATGACGAAGAAGGGGTAATGCTTGTAAATGTGAAACTGACCTCGAAATCTGCATTCGCTTTGTGGAAACTATGGAGAGGACATTTATACCTAAACAGGCTTCCATTCGTCTTCATTAAAAATTTTTAATTCTCATTCACAAATAAACTCAGTCAGTGAGCCATACATTTATACTGTACATTAATTGCATAATATAAGTCTGTACGAGCGACATCTTTGTATCATGTAAATAGACTGTCAACTGATGTGTCAGTCAGATGTTGAAGAGGACAGGACCTAAAATGTGAAACTTGTCTCAAAGTCATCAACAGTAAAACTTAATTTTAGATTTTGAAGTCCTAACATACAGTCTGATTTTTTCGCATGTTTTTATTCTATTAAATCTTGCAACAGAATTTTCAATTCCTGTTTAATTGAATAAATTTGAAACACTCATTTCTCAATAATCATATTATCCGGAGTCGATTTAATAGGTACAGTATTTACCTTTCTGTCGGAAATGACGAGTGAATCATGAAGGAATACAGTAATTTTTGTTGAATGAAATACAAGATTTTGCGTAATACAAGGGAAATCTCTCTATAACGAAATTCAGGAGAACAGAAAAAAATATTTATTCAGAGAAAATCGTTGCAGAAAGCCACCTGTATTTAATTTTTATCCTGAATCGACGAAAAAAACAACTCCCCCATCTTCTCCGGAAATGAATCGTGAAAATCTGTTTCGTAAAATTAAAATTAAAATATGCCCAAATATTCAGTATAAATTTTGCATGTCAATTTCAGATCGCGCTCATGACCATCACTCTCTGGTTCATCGCATGGACCCCATACCTGGTCATCAACATCCAGGGTCAAATCGACAAGAACTCAGTCACCCCTTTGTTCACGGTGTGGGGCTCAGTGTTTGCCAAATGCGCGGCCGTGTACAACCCCATCGTGTACGGCATTAGTCATCCAAAGTACCGTACCGCACTCGCGGAACGCTTCCCTTGGATGGTCTGCGGCAGCACCAAGAATGACGACACTGTTTCCAATGCGACCACAGAGGGCAGCACCACTGAAAAGGGAGACGAAGAAGAGAACAAGGTCTAAAAAAAACACGTGGTGACAAGCAAAAAAAAAAGAAAAAAAAGGCTGACAAGTGAACACGTTTCTTGATTGCTTTCTATATATATGCAGTTTTGTTGAACAGAAACATTTTTTTATTTTTTTCTCTCCATGGGATTTCCCACTTTCCCAGGGTATACCAATCAGCATTCCTCAAACAAATGAAGGAAATTTAATTAGATTAAAATGAGGAAACACTTATTAAACTTGTTTATTCAAGTAGAGTATTTTTCCTGGATCATATTGGGAAGAATTTATGGAAATATATTGGTTGAAATTTAATTCTGTAAAGCAAATCCAATTTTTTCACTTTCCAGTTGGAAACAAAAATTCCCTCACCCCAATGTTCAAAACTTTAAAATCGGTTTCACTCCTTCCAATTTTTCGATTGTCCCTTAACCAGTTGAGTTGAAATATTACACTATAACAGACATAACAGGAACTTCTAATTTATGAGCAGATATGTTTTTAAATTACAATATGCATATATTCTGTGTTCCAGGAACCCATAAAACTCACTTTATTTAGTTTTGAAATAGCTGTCTTTTATTGTCAATGTGTTGAATTTGTCCTTTGAATCAGTCTTATAAATCAAACTATATTTTTAAGTTCATTACTGTGCATCAATTTCTTGCGCTTGAAAACTATATCATAAACACCTGAAAATATTTGAAAATTGGTCATTACAGGTTTCATCAGCGGAACTCTTCTAATAGAATTTTGAAATAGTTGATTCACCAGCATCTATTGGATATAAAAAGTGCAAAATTGTGCAAACTTAAGTCTATAAGTTTGCAGCCACGCAGCGAAAATCACTCAAATAAATGAAAAATGGCATGTGTTTCAAGCTTGTTTATGCAAGCAAAGAAACAAGGAAATGTATAGAATTCATTTTCCTGCCATGATATATAGAAACAATTTAAAGCAGCCATTCAAAATCTTGTAATTCTCAATGTGCAGTTTTTGGCTTCAGAGCATGTTTCAAAGTCTCCTTTTGAGGACACTTTTCAGAATTCCTGCTCTGTGATGATTCAAAAAAACTCTGAAACTAAGCAAGTGTATTCTTCCACTCCCTCTTTTGAACAACCACCATCATTGCAGTCCTTGGCATCTAATTTTAGAATTTTGAGATTATTTATCAAACAAGATCAATTATATAATGAACATTAATTGTTCATTAATGAACTGTGAGGTTCATGTGATCCAAACACTGCTTAAAACTGTATTGTAGATCAGAAAATTGCAGGTAATGTACATATAAAAGGCAATGTTTTCAGCTGGGTAAATAAAATGTTGTCATTTTTTAACAGAGCGTCCTTATTTAAAGTTAATATGTAAAGTTGCAATCAAGTTATAGTTCATAATTCGCATTAAAAAAATTATGGCTGTGCAACTAAGTGAAAAAAGGGACTGAGGTCTGTGTGACTGTGAATAGAAAACTCTGGTGGTAACTCTTTTCTATGAAGGTAATTATTCTGTCCAAATTGACAAATTCATGCATGAAAATAGAAAGAGGATCCCCATTGTTTACAATAAATTCATCCATGAGGGTCCAGCAAAAGGAACTTTATAGAGAAGTTATTATTGTACTTGAATAAAAGAGCAAGTTTGAGAACAATATTTTCCAATATACTTTTCCTGCGCAAAAAAAAGCCACACCAACTGTGTCCAATTCTTCAGCAGTCATTCAAAATTGAGTAGAATTAATGTGAAATTTTTATGTGTCCCAGCATTAAAATTTTTTTATCAGATAGAATGTAGAATTATTTCTAAAGCTCCAAAATCACTTAATGAGTCAGATTTCTTCCATTTCCCAATTTTTGGTTTTGTGGGAAAGCTTGTGGAGGGAAAAATCTCATTCTAATTGTCCAAGAATTTTTTTTTAGACTGGGTTTCTCATCTTCAAAACAAGCAATTATACTTGGACTCATCATCATAGAAACAACAAAACAACGTTTTTTTATTCAACATTGTCTTGCCACTTCATTGTTGCTTGAATGAAGCATTCATTCATTCTTCTGTGGCAATAAGGAGATTATTTCTATAGACACGAGACGAGGCCTTTTCCGTTCGCGATTGTGCTTTGAATTCGAAAAAAAAATGTATGTCAGAAATAAAATATGTCAAATTCTCAAGCAAGATTTTGACTGCATTTGCTTTTATTTGCATTCTGTTATGGAGATCCAATTTTTTCGCGGCTAAAGAAGAAGAGAACTTCACTGGAATTTATGGGAACAAGGCAACTCCAATTCAAGGTATAAATTTTTCATTATGAAACACAAAATAAACTTTTATTTTCCTGTTATAAAATTTATATAGAAAAACAAGAATTCTATGATTTTTAAACTTATTTTTACAATATCAACCATTATCACAATTGGCCATCAATATGTTACAAAGGAACAATAAAATGATGTTGAACATCTAACTTTCTGCTTATTATTATTATTGCAGATTATCGGAAATAAAAATGTATCAAGCATTCAGTCACATACTTATGACCTATAGTTATACTCAGTACATTCGACCCCGGCACAACGGACCTTCTGCACAACAGACCTCCTCTGGAGATTGTTTTCATTCCCGCACAATGGACTAAATATGTATAACAGATTTCATCTGATGGTTTGAAATTATTGGTAAAAAGGAAAAATCTTAGTTTTTAAAGAATTGAATTCGCATAACAGACTTTACCCAGCAGACTAGTCTGCTGATGCATGAATTAAGTCTGTTGTGCAGAGGTGGACTGTATATCTATAGAATATTTTTCATGAGTCTTAGTCAACCCAGGTTTTACTAATAAAACAAAATAGCTCATATATGTTGAAGAAGTCACCAATCTTGTCGGGGAACCAGAACTTGGGCCCAGGGACATCAGGTCCCAGGACCTGGATTCTGGTCCTGTTTTCCTTGGATGCACATTTATCCCACTAATCACAGGCAAGGGAAAAAGTCCAGTGCTTTGATCAGGTCAGCTGACAGAAGCATTGGGCTAAATCCTATAAAAACCCAGCACTCTTCCACTCCCAATAATCAGTCCTTAAAATAAGCTCTTACAGTAAACTTCCCTCAAAACATTCTAACCCCAATTCTTCTGATTGAATTGGTGATTTGCATCATTACACCCTAAATTTGTGTGCAAAAATTTATTGTCTTCATTGAATGTGTGTTGCATTATTGCATTTATTGTGATGTACTATTATTGTATTGTGTTTGATTGTGATTTATTGTGGACTGTGATTAAACCAGACAAAACTAGGGATATGTAATTAAAATACACCCTTAATTAAATATTCCCAGCTGCAAACCAGCTGATTGCCCTGCCTTATTATTTCCCACCTTTTCTTCCACTGCGCTATGGTTCAATTCTTTACGTTGGGTTGATTAATTCCTCAACAAATCTAGAACAGGAATTTGAAAAATTGATTGTAGTTGTAGTCCAAAAGCCCCTCCCCCCCAATCATGCAAAAATCAGGGATTGATAGCATTCTTGTAACTCTTGATGGTAAGCTGCACCTTTCACTGGCAGGCCTAGCACAAGGCCAAGTACCAATATGCTTATAAGTTGAGTATATAAAGGGATTCTTCATCTGCAGTGGTCATCAGTGATTCTTTGAATGTCAAATAATCATCATTACTTATTGCTGACTTCTGCAAAATCAACAGTTTACCTTCTTGGTCCAATGGCTGGGTCACTTCAGATCATAAAAAATAAGAAGGGTGGTCAAAAGGCATACTAAAATAGCTATTACTCATGTTTAAAAACAAAAAAGCCACTAATAGACACTGCTGGGAATGTGTGAGACCAAAGAACACTGCATTGAGGGAAGAAGGAGATGAGATGAGAGGTCCACATCAAGATGAAAATGATATGGAGAGCAGCAGTGACTGCAATGAAGAGGCAGCAGAAGGCAATTTTGAAGATGATCATTAACCCTTGGACAGTGGAGGGTTCTTTCCCATTGCTGGCCAAAGTTGGATTATTTTTGTCTTCCAGGGCGTTTTAAGTTTTCTGAAGGTCAGAAAAGCCCTTCCAGGTGTGCTGAGGCAAAGTTGGGATTAATCTGCAAAAAGCTTGTTGCATAACATACCATTTTCTTTATTTTCCAGCAAAATTTTTCTGCACAAGAAGGAAAAAAAATCGGGATTTTTCCTGACTTTATTGTCCTCATCTCCCTGTTGTCATTTTTTTCTTTTCCTCTCTGAGCTACAACAAAATTTTGCAAAAATAGTCCAACCTTGCTGCCCAAGGGTTTAACAGTCCTTTTTATTTTGTGGAGTGTGTTCTCTTTTATTTTTGTCATCAATTTGTGCGTTGTTGCCTGCTTTGAAGTGATTGAATGTCTTTGAGGGGATTTGGGTTGGGTGGGGAGGGCGTTTGGATGCGGGAATCTTGGTTGTGCCTTGTGAAGGCTGAAAAGCAGCAAATAAAAAGTTCTGTTCATTCATTCATTCATCAACAGTCCTTTTGAGGGCCAATGCAACCAAACAGCTCTGCTCATGGCCATCACACACTAATCTGAAACTCTCATCCAAATAAAAAAAGTGGGGGGGGGGGGGGGGGCTTTTGACCTATAGGGAGGCTTTTAGATGTGGGCTTTTGGCGTGGGGGGGGGCTTTTGGTTGGGTACCACCAATCACATGATGAATACGAACTTCAGCTTCTCTACACACACTATTTGAACATTTACTCCTTTGTCAGTGATCTTATTTATACAATATTCACAAATGTTCTCCCACTGGAAATAATAGACATAATGGAATGGCATACCAAGCCTTACAAGTAAAGAAGAATAAAAGTATATCACAATGGGGCCTGAAGCAAAAAATGAACCTTGAGGAACCAACAACTTACATTACCTTTTTTAAAAATTCTGTCTTTGGTCGCCATTTTACTTTAACCCCTATACTTGACCTATGAGAAACAAGCCTCCAGTCAGTTCCAGAATATTTGTTGTGTTCTACAGCTGATTCATAACTATTTATTGGATCTTCCAATGACTAAAGTTGGAGACTTATCAATTCCAACCTTGCATGAATAACATGAATACACTTTCAGAAAGATATTTCTATCCATGCTGATTGAGAGGAAACAAAGAAATATGCTTGCATACCATATTTCAACTAATAGATTCCTCTGGTCTCCAATTGAGGCCTGTCTTTAGTATAAAGGCCAAGTTTTGTCAGAAAAGCTTAAAGCTAATAATTGCCAGGCTCTAATATTAACCAGGTCAAAAAAGGATCAGGGAGATTGAAAAAAATTTGAGAATTCTCTCATTAAAAAAATCCATTACATAAGTGCTTAAGAAATAAGCCCTAATTCCCATTCCTATTTTTTCAACTGGAATATTTATCCCATTTTCCTTCTCTTGTTGGTAAGTATTGACTTTGGTAAACAAATGCCAATCTCTATTGAAAGCTGGTGCGTAATAAAAGTCAGGAGAAACCTTAAAGGTTTTAAATTAATGCTGGGAACGTTTCTTTGGCATGAAAGTGGCGTGAAAAACTTTATTTCTTGTTTTTTAAATTGATGATCAGACCATTGCTCTTTCTTGTGGGTAATTTGTTTTACCAAAATAGAGACTTGGGTCTCAGAGATGTAAATTTTTTTTGGCATGCTTTCAAAGAATACAAAGAATAATCTGATGAGAGAATTTATACAAGAGTCTTCATTCCTTCATATTCATACATCAATAGAATATACAGTATGTTGCAGAGCTGAGCAATGTCAACAAGGTTTTGCAGCAAAGTCTGATAACAATTGTGTTCTCCAACATAAGAGACACCTGTATTTACAGATTTTGGCAGTAGAAGTTGAGCAATTTGCATGCCAACCAATTTGGATTGGTGTTGACATGCTTTCTTGCACAGCAAACAAATGAAAGGAGAATGATTTAGAGAGGCATTCCAGGTAACAACATAATTATGTTCGGTGCAGTTTGTGCACTAAATGCAGAAAAGCATAATGGATTGAGAAATAATGATTGAACACTCAAAAATGTTTTTTGTATTGTTATATGGCATATGACTACAGGTGAACCTCAATAACTCAAACCTCCCTAAGTTAAATACCCCCTAAGTCTACTTTTTTTTCAGATCCCCTCTGAATCCCCTTATTAGAAGCAATACATGAAAAACCTCCCTAAGTCAAAGTGTTTTCCTCTCAAACCTCTGTAAGTCGAATTTTCTTTGGCCTGTTTGCCATTATTTTCTTGAAAAAAAAATGAAAAAAGCAATAAAAACAGAAAATTATGTTTTTTAAAGGAAGTGAAAGACTTAATTAGGAAAATAAACCCCTACCTCCAAGTTCAGCAGCCTTTCAACTAATTTAAGAAGCCATTTAAGCTTTCGAATATCTCCATTTAAATTGTTTTCAAGTTTTCTAGAAAAAAGGGCTTTTATTGCAGTTCCAACCTATAAAATTCCTGACCTCCCTAAGTTGAAACCTCCCGAAGTCGAATTCTTTTGCAGGACCCTTGAAATTCGACTTAGGGGGTTTTGACTAAAATAAATTATCCAATAATAATAAAAAATATTTGATGGAAGAAAATCAGTGAAACATTTTCAATAATATATATGACAGGCAAGGTTATGGAACCATATGGATAAAATATAAGACATTGAATATTGCAAAGCAGTCTAAATAAATAACAAGGCTGTGCATGTACAGTCAACCCCCGTCTAATGGACTTGATTTGTGCAAGGGATGAGTCTGTTAGACAAAAAGTCCTTTACATGAATTCAATTACATAAAAAATTTAAAATTTTAATTTTCAACACTAATTTTAAACCAAAAGAAGTCTGTTAGGCAGATTTTGTCTGTTGGTTGGGAGGAAAAACTGCTTGCAAAGCTGGTCTGTTTGGCAAAAATCCCTTACAGGGGATGTCTGTTAGGCGGGGGGCCACTGTACACTTAATAAACTATGTTTGTTTATTCTAAAACGTGTCAGCAAGTAAACGTGTCGAGAAAAGCTGAGCAAGAAGCCATAGGAAAGATTCTCTCAAGCCAGAGGAAGACCATGAAATGCTTCTGTCAAGCAATTCAACATCTGTGTCAAACACAGAAAAAGATTTATTTGTGAGAAGTACATATATATATGCAATAAGCATATATTTTATCCGCACGTGTACGAAATAGGATTGCACTCACCTTCCAGGTTTCCCCCTTTATTTTGTTCGTCCCTGATTTCAGAAGAAAATCCTTGTCAGGGTATAAAAGGCCAAGAACTTGGCCCTGAGGAATTCAGTCAAAGCAGAGTCTTCACTGAAGTATTTCGGTCCGAAGGGTTCGAACTTGCTTCAGCTTCGAAAGCCTGTTTTTGAAAAGTTTTTCGCTTGCGGAATAAAAAAAAGAAAAATTTGGTCTTCTAGTCGAGAATTTCGTCGTTAACGGAATCTGCATCTGAAATATCTACTCCTCCTTGAAGGTAAAAATTTGTATTTCAATACAAGTGCTTGAAAATATGTGAAAATTCTGATTTCAAAGTCAGCCTTTAGCAAGAAATTTCTGATGAGTCCCTTTTTCTTCAAAAAATTGCAAAAGAAAACTTGGGAATCGTTTTTCGTCTCGAACTGATCTCAAAATGTCATTTTCGCATACAGAGATATTTTTCGAAAATTCAGAATTTTTGAATTGCAAGCAAATGACCAGCGGAAAAAACCGTGGAGAAAAATTTAAATTGTTTAAATTTTAAGATGTTAAAATTGTTTACATTTTAAAATGTTAAAATTGTTTAAATTTTAAAATGTTGAAATTGTTTGAATTTTAAAATGTTAAAATTGTTTACATTTTAAAATGTTAAAATTGTTTACTTTTTAAAAGGCTAAAATTGTTTAAATTTTAAAATGTTAAAATTGTTTAAATTTTAAAATGTTAAAATTGTTTACATTTTAAAATGTTAAAATTGTTTA